CCTTCTTATTCTCCGTCATACAAGCAAAACGGCCGATGGAGGACAGGCCTACCTACATGTAGTTAGTAGTGCCGGTTGAGGCACTATCGAACCCTTCAATACAGTAGTAGTACCGGTTCACACCCCACACACAGCCTTTTTTTGCCTCAAGCCTTCGACACCAACAGGATTCGGAGACGGTCGACCTTCGAGCTACACGTAGTGTAGCTCGGTTTCTGTCGGTACGCGTGGCGTCTTCGAATAAATGTCATGGTTTACCGATCGACCAAAGTCCACCACATCAAGTCCATTCAGCCAACCAACAGGTTGGGATTTCAGGAGAGTGAAGCGGGCGAAAAGGAAGAGGATGGTAGTGACGAAGAATGGATGTGGAACGAATAGCGAAGGATAGCAGTGGTGATGGAAGAAAAGTATAGTGTTGAGGGGAACAAGAGGTTCGAAATAATAAGTGGAAATATTAGTGACGAGAGCAAGCAGTGAGAGTGATGGTTATACCCCTCAGTGATAAAAACACCCCGAAAACGAACCTGAGTTGAAAAAACATACATAGTAGCCTTGGCAGACACGTGTAGTTTCCGTTTCGTCTCTCTTTTATCCAGAGAATAGCTCAGCTTCCTCCATGACACCCTCTGACGGGATCCCAGATCAGAGGGCTCTTCTAGAAGAAACCGAAACATGAAGTACATAATATCTGGTACAACTGTATGTATTTATTTTCTGTTTTCAACCGAACGGAGACTGACGCGTCTATTGGTTGGCCTGTCGTTTTTCTTACTTCTGAAGGCTTGTCTTTTCTCTATCGCTGTAGTTTTTTATTGAAGGAACAACAGCAGGGGAGTTTGATGTCTTCTTCACCCCTTCCCATTGCATCTGCTTTTCTTTGTTGCGCTCATGTAAGGAGAAGAACTACATTCATCCATGTTGCCTCCAAATATTAAGTGTACGTCGGGTGCGTGCATGATGAGAGTATTTTTTCGCTGTCGAGGGGTGCCCTTGAGGTTGCCTGAAAAGTGCGACGGCCTTCTTGCCACAACAATATTCTACATCACTTGATAGCGAGATATCTTTTGATCGGGCAGCACGGTCTACAGTTAGTTGAGAGGCAGCAGCGACGTTCGCTACTACTACTACCTTCGGGTGTGCGCTGAGTTAGGACGCGAACCATGGTGCACCAAATGAATCTGGTCAAGTGTAGCTTGATTGATGTGACTTCGATAGTCTAGCAGCCTCACGAAACTTAAAGAAGCCCGCCCACGTTGCCCACCTCACAATTGACCCGGATACCGTTCGTTTGGTACTCTGTCAGCCCCGCAAAACGCAAGTGCTGCACCCTGAAGTCGAACAGTCCTTTCGTTTGGTACTCTGTCAGCCCCGCAAAACGCAAGTGCTGCACCCTGAAGTCGAACAGTCCTTAGGAACGAGTGCCAAGTGGGCACTATTGAGGTATTTTTATACCCTGAATAGTGCCGGCCTGGCACTATTAAAGGCACAATTCTAAACAGTGCCGGTGGCCGGTATAGTGCCGGTCCATCCGGCACTGACCCTATACCAGAAACTATACCGGGACACCTACTGTATAACCACAGCGCAGTCGAAAGGGATGTGTGAAGTCTTTTTTTCCCGTATGTATGTGCCAGCCGGTTTTCCTCCACTCACTGAAAAGACTCACAACATCCCGTTCGAGTGTGGGTATATCTCGAACGGGTAGTCTTTCAGTGTGTATGTATTTTTCCTATTATGATGTGCAGATTATTATCGATCAACCGTCACCAATCGCCCCGGTGGTCTTGTTGGTATCTCCGAAACTCTCCAGAGGTCAGACCAGGGGTTCGGATCCCGTAAAGTGAGTTTTTCTCTCGCTTCTGCTCCTGGCCCAGTGGATAGCGGTGGCTCGTGTGAACACAGAGTGAAGAGACACAGAGGAAGAGAGTGCTGAACTCTTCTCGCTTTGGAAATCGCAGGCAAAGTACCGCAGGAGAGGGGGGGTGTACTCATAGTCGTGCATGCCGTAGTCGTTAGACCATTGACCTCGCATCCCTACAAAGCCGG